ACCGTCCACCCAAAGCATTTTCTTTGTCACTACTAGCGATTGTCCTTTCCAAGCACAAATTGCGCAACGGGCCCGATGCTCTGGTAGTGTAGTGTTGTGGTGTGGTGTACTAGTGCCTCAAGTGCGATCGAATACCAGCTCAGCAGTGGAAGACAGCCTACACCAATTTGTATCGGCAATTGAGTGCCTGCCAATGATACGACTTCAGAGCAAGGTTCGCAGCTGCTATCAAGACGCAAAATAGCAAGCTTGGGTTTGAAGTCATCGAATTTGTGAGTGAACAGGATCTTGTCGTGTTCGAGTGGATAAAGTGGCTCATAATGCGGGATATTCCTTTCAGCGAGGTTGACAATGAGATGACACGGGAGCTTGATGGAAACAAATCGGTGCTGCATGTATTCAGTAAATCGGCTCGAGCCTACATACGCGTGCTGATTCCACTAGCAGAGCACGTAATTACGGACGGGCTTCCTGATCGCGTCGCTATCATATTTGACGGATGGCAGCACAACACAACCCACTACGTAGCAGTATTTACTGTGTTCATGAAGGACGGTAAATGCTTCGAGGTGTTGCTGGTGTTTTCACCCCCACTGGACAACAAGTCCTAGACAAAATATTATCAGTATCTACAAGAACGTAAGCGGTTAAGGACGACGCAGACTTTATCATACGTGGACCTACACTTCTTACAGGAAACGTACGTGGCGGTTGAGAGATTGATCATCGCTTTCACGTGTGTTATGGCAGGCCGAAGGGTCAGATTGGCTCTCGTTATGCTTGAAGCGATCCTCTTTCTAAAGATAAACCGCGATTTCTGGGAATCACAGCTTGTAGCAAGGGCTATTAGAGAGGCGCCTAATGATGAACGAGGATAGCAAAGATTGCTACAGACCCGTGCAGCAATCGGGTATTGCAGATTTCAATTCAGATGGGTATTGCAATACCTAGCTTCTTTGCAATATCTTCTTTTAATTGCAATACATTTCCGTCGGACAAATCATTTTTTCTCTCTTGTATTGTACATGTATCACTTCAATCGTCAAGCATCAGGCTGCGAGCTTGGCGGCTGCAGCAACCCGTGTCTGCTAATCGAGCTGCAATACACATGCTAAACCTACTGATCTACTGCAGGCGCAATAGAGACGCGGGTCTTAGGGGGCGGTAGCCCCTCATTTTGCTGGGATAGCACCTCGTTGCGAAGTACTGTCGTCGCGACTGATTTTATTTCCAGTGTGTATACTGATGCTTCATTTGTTTAGCACGTTACGTCCTTTGTAAGTGCTTGGCCGATCTTTTGCTGGCCCAGGTGAAGAGATGGAAACTAAAGTGCTCGAGCAATCTTCCTAAAGGAAGGAGAGTGTTTGAAAATGTGCACATAATATGCATATTATTCATGAACACGCAAGGTTAGTGAGTTGAATTATGCTCATTTACACCTGCTTAAATTGATTTTAAAAAATCATTTTACCTCCGCTATTTTCCTGTTCCACTTACATTTTACGATACAAGGCTGTGAAAATCCTTCAACAAATGTAATACCTGTGGAATTAATGAGAAAAATGGAGATTATAAGAGCATTATTTTTGATATTTGTATTGACGCAGCACCAACTTTTTCTGTTGGACCATATATTTCATCATTCAATGTACTACTCACGTAGCCCTACCAGGATAAGGGTATTTAAACTCCAAGACGATATTGAAATGTATCGCGATTTTACTAAATAAGAAAAGTGGCCTTTTATTGGATTTTACACTATTTTTTTAGGAAGACTTTTAAAAAAAATAGTGCTACATTTATCCTGAGTTGTCAGTTAATAATTATCCAAATTTTACGAATTTGACCCCGTCACCAACTAAATGTAATTTTTTGCGAAGTATGGGGCGAGTGGGTGAGAGTAACGTTAGATGGCCACAGTACAACCTTCACGGTATTTGCGGAGGTGGGCTGTGCGGTGAGCTCTAAAGCGAATCAAGCGTTGCACGCTTCAAAAATTTAATTATTTAATCGCGGATATGCTGCAATATTTTTTTAATTTGGTTAATATTATGCGTTGTAATCAAAGTTTCCATGCGCAGCAAATCTGTTTTGGATATGGCTTACGTTAGAGACCACTTCAGTACATGTACTTTCTTCCACCACTTAAGTACGATTTTTAGAATGAATCACAAGATTACAAATTTTCTGTTATTTTGAAACAAAAACGGCAAATGTGGTCGAAATTCATAATAAAACTGAAAAAAAATGAAATTGGCTGGGATCACTTGTCTGATGCGTAATCGTTCCACCTTGTTTGATTGCGCATGGAATTTGAATACAGTACCGTTCCAAATTTGGGCACTGTCCAGTCAATTGGGCACTGCCTACAAAGGAGTTGGACTTGTGTACACTCATACTCTGAAGGATCCTATTGAATGCTGAAGCCCGATAACCCTGAACAACCCACCGCTTGCTTCGCTCACCACCGTTAACACGAACAGATACTCTGCACGGCTCACTGAAATGCCAATCATTGGCAGCTTTACATGTGCAATTATATAATAAAAGTATCTCGCTTATCGAGAGGCCACAAATCCTGCCGTGATCCATCAGAAAACTTGCATCTTGAACCGCTAGCGACCTCCTCATGCCTCCACCGAAGTCCCCGCATGAAGCGCCTTACGCGGCTCTATCGACGCCTCGCGGGGCTTCAAACTCCGCCAAAGCCTCCATTTCCAGCTCCGACACGTCTCCATCTTTCCTGTCGCTTTATCGCTTCGCCACTCCTGCCGACAAGTTGCAACTCGTACTGGGCGCTGTATTTGCCGGACTCAATGGAGCCATCTTCCCATGCATGGCGTTAGTCTTCGGTGCAGCCATTGACGCCTTCGCCCAGACAGACGGAGGGGTCGATCTTGCCGCCGTGAACCGCGCCGCTCTGTACTATTTCCTCATCGCCGTGGCACTTTTTGCCACTGATTGTCTAGCCTACATTCTCTTTTGCAACTCGGCCGAGAAACAAATGAAAGCCTAACGTTGCCACGTCTTCTCGCACATGCTACACATGGACGTAAGCTGGTACGACCGTAGTGACGCCTTCGAACTCGCCAGTCGAATTACAGGCGACACAGTCAAGATCAAGGACGGGATGGGCCATAAACTCAGTGATTCTATCAAATTGACGTGTCAATTCTTCGTCGGATACACCATCGGCTTTGCACGAGGCTGGAATATGACTCTCGTAATGGCGTGCGTTATGCCGGTCATGGTGCTCTCGCTTAACCCCTTGGACGCGGAGGGGTGACAGGGATAGGCTAAACAAAATCCTTATACCCTCCCGGAGGGTATAAGGATTTTACTTGATTAAAGTAAGACATATTTTAGCGAAGAAGTTAAACGCACCTTTTTTGACGAGATTGTTGCTAAGCTCCTCGGTGATTATTCTGGTATAGGGGCTTGGTATGATCTGCGGAGAAAAATCCCCCAATCAACTGTTTGCCAGTCTATTTATGCAACTCCGACATTTAGAGACCAGCAGGAGAGGCCACTCATTGACCACCGCATCAACACAGCACAAAGATAGCGATGGCTGGCAGGACGGACACGACAGAGCGCCCCAAGAGAGACTAACAGGGGCATTGGCAACTACGTAGAAGGTGTTTCTTAGCAAGATGAGTGACTTATTTGTGCTACCATGTGTTGTAATGCAGCTATATGTATTTCCCTACGGCTTAGCTAGGCTACGATCGCGAATATGACTTGCTTTTGGAGCGAACAGGCCATTCTGCCACAGGATGTGCCATATCTGGGCACAGGTCATGCCCTCGTTTGCTTGGTGTCCCCGCACCTTGTTGCGGAGTGTCACTTGCCCCTTCTTGCCTTCGGAGCACTTCGCGCAATAGAATGTAGACGTTCCACCCCTTTTCTTGCCTGTCGGCTTGTAGTAAGAGCAGACCTTGCATTGCCTTTGGCGCAAACGATGGACACCGTTGTTTAGACGGGTGTCGGTAGTTTGGACGAGGGAATGGTATAGGTTTTTCACGCACTACAGCCGTAGGCTCAGTCGAAACTCCTGCCTCCGTAAAGGATGACTCCGTCTCCTGAATGAGCTGTCTGTGTAGAGTTGTCAAGAAAGAGTAGTGTGACATCTTCTTCTTTTTCACACTTCTTGTCTGCAGAGTTACAAGGCCCCACCGTCTTTGAACGTTTCTTTGGTGGTTGTTCCCTGCTTGTAGTATCTGCTCTCTTGGCTGAGGTCTTTGGTGTACTTGAGACCGAAGATGGTAAAGGCTCTGCACCAAAAACACACAAAACGTCGTCATAAAGCACGAAACATGTTTGAAGTGCGCATACGCTTACCGAGTGGGGCTGCATTGGGACGCACCATGATGTTGGTGAGATTGAGGCGGACGCACAGGTCTATGTCCGCCTTTACGTGCGCAAGCAACGCATCTTCGCCGTTGAAGAAGTCCACTCCCTGCTTGCCGCCCCGAATCTTGCAGCCAGGCTTCGAATAGTTCGAGCTACAGCAATATATAATCAAAGTTAGTAGGGTTAACCGCATCAATATCATAACACTTACTGTATCTGTAACCCTTTTGCTGGTTTCCATGTCCACCCTTCCTCGCGCAGTAGCGGCCACACAACTTTGAAATCCACAACGTACTCCATTTGCTGTATGGGGCTCGGAATGAAGAATGAGTGGTGACAACGAAAGGGGAGCCGAAATTTGATATTTTGGAAAAATATATAGTCCGGCTCTTACCTGCGGTACTTCGGTACTTCAATCCGGCTGTAAATGTTATCCAATAGAATTCGTTGCTTTCAAAACGTGGACCAATCAAAACCTTTTCAATTTGGGAAGTGTCGACGATGGCAGTTTGCGAATTTCAAGCCATAGTGAAATCAAGTGTTTCTTATGCTGTTTAGAACAGCATAAGACATTATTGCAAGGCTCCGCGTCCAAGGGGTTAAGTATATGATTATGTTGTTTAGGAAACGTGCTACTATCACAGAAAATGTACGCAGAAGCAGGTGCTGTGGCCGAGGAGACACTTGGATCTATACGAACAGTAGCGTCACTGAACGGAGAGAAACGAGCGATCGACAGATACAATGAACGCGCAGTTTTCGTAGAGACGGGAAATATTGCAATTAGCAAGAAATCTGCCTGTGGGTTTGGCTGTATGATGGGCAGTGTCTGGCTCATGTACGCTGCGGGGCTTTGGTATGGCGGATCCAAAGTGGCAAGAGCGGAGGCGTCTCCCGGGACGGTCTTTCAGGCTTTCTTTGGTGTGTTAATGGGGACGATCTCACTCTCACAGATATCGCCTAATATCACTGCCGTCGCTGAAGCGAGAGGTGCTGCTGCGGAGATTTACAAGATCCTGGACACCCCGTCAGCCATTGACGCATCTAGAGAGCATGAAGGAGAGAAACCTGACTTCTGCGTCGGAAGAATTCAAGCTGTTGGTGTGAATTTCACGTACCCGAGTCGACCGGATGTGCAGATTCTGAACGACTACAACGTCACCATCCAGCCTGGTCAGACTGTCGCCTTTGTAGGTGCGAGTGGAGGTGGCAAGAGTACGCTCATCTCGCTGCTTGAACGCTTCTATGATCCTCAAGAAGGAACTATCTTACTGGATGGAAGAGATGTGAAAACGCTGAATGTGAAATGGCTACAGTCACAGATCGGGCTCGTATCTCAGGAGCCTGTACTGTTCGCCACTACCATCTTGGACAACATTGCAGCGGGTGGGAATGGCGTCACTCGTGACCAAGTTGTAGCCGCGGCAAAGCTGGCGAATGCACACACGTTCATCATGTCGTTACCAGAGCAGTATGACACACTAGTAGGTGAGAAGGGTGTGTCGTTGTCGGGTGGTCAGAAGCAGGGTGTAGCCATCGCTCGAGCGATTGTCCGTGAACCGAAGATTCTGGTCCTGGACGAAGCGACGAGTGCCTTGGATAATGAGAGCGAGCGTGTAGTTCAAGCGGCTTTGAACGATCTGATGAACAAAACTCACGTGACGACGCTGGTGATTGCGCATCGCTTGAGTACTATTCGAAATGCCGACAAGATCGTGGTGGTGCATGCTGGTCACGTAGTGGAGGAAGGGTCTCACGACGAATTAGTGACGATCGAGCATGGCTTGTTCCAGAATTTATACAGGATTCAAGAGGAAAAGGCTCAGGAGGAAGCGGAGGCTGCGGCAACAGCTCTACTTCAAGCTGGTGCTCACGATATGAACATGTATCGCAAACTAAGCACCCATTCACTCAAAAGTGAGCGCGTGGATGACGTTACAGCAATAAAGGAGGCCGAAAAGGACGCAGCAGAAGGAAAATTTACGATTGTAGACGCGCTGGAGTTTAGTCGACCAGAGCGCAAGTTCTTCGTTACCGGACCCGTTGCGGCCGGTATCAACGGCTTCTCCATGCCCTACTCCGCTGTACTAATCAGTGAAATGGTCGCGAGTATGACTTCAGCGTACACCGACTACCAGACGTTCGGCCTTCAGTCGTATCTAAATAATCTCTCGAGTGATATCTCCATTTATGGTGTGTGTTACATCGCTGGCGCTGTACTGTTATTCTTCACGAACGCTACTCAGAACTTCTGTTTCCGCTACATGGCTGAGAAGCTAACGTCCAGACTGCGAGACATTCACTTCTCGGCGCTATGCCGCCAGAATATCGGCTTCTTTGACGAAAAGAAGAACGCTACTGGAGCTCTTGCAGCCGATTTATCGACCAATGCGACAAAAGTTGCGATAATTTCCGGAGATTCCCAAGGTCGAGTGGTGCAGGCTGCGTTTACGTTTATTGCCGCGTTGGTTATCTCGTTCACGACGGGTAGTTGTTGGCTGCTGACGCTCGTGATGCTCGCCGTGTTCCCTCTTCTTATAATGGGGCAAGTTATCCGTATGAAACATGTCCGTAAGGGTAATATCCTATCGGATGAGCTGGCGGATGTGGGTGCACACGCCTCCGAAGCGCTTACCAACGTCCGTACCGTCGTTTACATGGGTTTGGAGCCAAATATGACGGATACATTCAACGATTTACTGGAGGAACCTCTGGCCAGTGGACGCCTAGAAGCTCGGCTGAATGGCGTGGCGCTGGGGTTCAGCTCGTTTATCGTCTTCGCAACGTACGCTCTTGTCTTCTGGTACGGCGGCAAGCTGGTCGATGGAGGAGATATTACGTTTTCTAGGCTCATTCGTACATCATGATGTCAGCTCAGGGGGTTGGACAAGCGGCATCTTTTCTCGGAGACTCGGATAACGCGGTGAAGGCTGGCAAGGCGATTGTTGCGATCAAGAACCTGGAGCCTCCTATCGATTCATTTGACGAATCAGGTTTGCGTCCTGCCCATCTTGAAGGCAAGATGGCCGCGGATGGTATTCGAGTGCACGTTGAGGGGTTTTCGAGTGCAGGCATTTTTGCCACGAAATGGCGGAATGCCGAGTGCAGATAACACATGGCGATATCGTCGGCTCTATACTTGTCTTGTCCGGTCCATGCTTGTTTGAATTTACTACACTGTCCTTGGGGCCGGATGCAGAGCTCGCCAGGATGTAAGAGGAGAAAAATACATGTATTTGTGAGAAGAAAACATGAATGAGCCTTGGATCCTGGTTCACTTCCTACACAAGGTACGCTGAGCTTCGCTAGTCCAGTCCTACGCTCACATGCTCAATGCCAACTGTCACTCCTGATCGTCTTAGCTGTCCAAGTCCTGATCGTCGTCGGCGTCACGGTCGACACTGCGGGGATGCGATTCGTGTGTGCTTGCGTGGGCGGCAGCACTCTTCGTAACATCGAGACCAGTACGTCTTGATTCTACGATCAGCTGCACCAATTCCTGGCACTCTAGGAAGACTTGCTTGCCTCCCTCGAAGTCGACAAGCCATCTATATCTACCATTCCGACTTGATTAGGCTTGAATTGTGCCAATCATGCTGATGTCTTCCTCTTCTCCGTTGACGACAACGGCAAAATCCTTTGCTATCTGCCAGCCATAAGGATAGTGCGGTTTCTTCATCAACTTCTTTTCCAGGGATGGAATCGAAAACGTGCGGCAGTCGGGTGCATCAATGAAGAGTGCACCAGCGATTTTGCGCTGTCCCCCGCAAAGTTTCGTGGTAGGAAGATTTTTCTTGGCGACAGTCAGATCGAATTGCTTCCTGATTGACATCACTGCGAGAACGTGCGAACAAACCCACCCTGTCGACCAAAACATTTTGCAATCGCATCGGAAGAGCGCCCGTATTTCACGGATCTGTACAACAACAACACTACGAGATGAGATGAGAACAAACAGATCATTGTAGCATGAAACTTACATTATCCATCGAGATCACAGGATGGCGCTGTAGTTGAAATGTTTTGGCCCGATCTGAATGGTCCAGAATCTCCACCTCATGAAGACAGAGATAGTGGACATTGATATCCTCCACCATATCGGACTCCCTAAGTTTTCCGACCTTGGCTTCGAGGTATCTGTCGCAATTGCCAGATTAACTAAAGATTAAGGCGCATGGAACAGATAAGATGAGGAGGACCTCTCACTTTCGTAACCTCACATGCAGGATCTGTATCTGTGTCCATGTATTCGGTTGCGTTGAACAGGAACGATCGTGGCACCCTCTTTCTGTTCACAACCTTCGTCTTCTTGTAGTACATCGATGAGCTAGTGTGGCGCACTGCCTGGTGAATGGTGTCGGCTGGAATTGGACCTGAGTACGTATAGATCCATTAGCCATCAGTCCCAATACCTCACTGTGTAACCGTGAGTACCTCCGGAGAAGTGGCTAAACGCGCTGGTCGGTGATTCCGCGCTCATCAACAAGAAAACGCCAGGAATTGAGTCGTTGAGAACATCGCCTGTTTTCGCACGCTTTGCTGTCACGCCACAAGTTTTAATCACAGCGTTGTGTGATTCCAGGGGGTTTTGATTCGGAAGGACACCGGGGGCGCCGCTTGTCGTGTACCATCGCGTCCACGTGTCTGTCAGGTATATTTTCTCGAACCAAGCCGCATATTCATGCTGCCCATCTGCCCGCCAGCGCTGCAAACATAGCTTCGACACTGCCTCGAATTGTGCAGGCGTCCTCGTCTTATGCATCTGGGTAATGTTCACCTTGATATTGTCCTGGTAATAAGCTGATGAAGTCTCCACGGGCTTCAGCAGAATCCACTTCTCGTGACTCTTTCGCGTCAAGTGGGGGTAGCAGTCAAGCAATGTGATGTCCGGCCACACCTCCTTGTATGAATTCGCAATGCATGCGGCATGATCAAGACTCCCAAAGCGCACATTGAGATCCACACCAAAACAAATCTGGGTTTTCTCCAAGACGGTTCGAAAAAGAGTCGTGAAAGCGAGTTGATGCTCAGTTCGTACGAACATGTACGCCCAGGGCACGAAAGACTTGCTGTATTTCTTCTCGGCAGTGAAGTGCGACTGGTACGTTCCAAATGCAACCAGCACCCAGCCACCTAACATTGATCGAAAAACTGCTAATCAACAATCATCACTCGAGAGCACTAAAAGAAACGTACCATAGTGGAGCTTGTACGTTCAAATACTCCATCTTGGTCCTGTCCCTCTACAGCGTAGAGGGCATTTCGAAAAACGCGTCTTGTCGTCATCACCAGTCCAAAAGACTCGTAGGCCTTCCCTTCTTCATTATAGAAGTGGCGAAAACACTTGAGTACCAGCGTTTCATTTCGAAACTGAGGCGGCTTCGACGAAAACGTTGTCTCATCAGTAGTTCTGTCAAAACCACCAGCACCGAAGAAGTCGAATGCGGAGTCACACAAGCGCAGGCCAGCCCATTCGCTGAGATCCGCAAAGCTTGCCACCTCGGTCTTCTTAGCGAGCGCATTCATCATGTAAGCTTTCCGGTTTTTTACTTGATCCCGGCTAGGAAGGATCGCTAAGAGATCCGGTCTGGCTTCGTATTGCCGTGCGAGCATCTGGAGAACCTTCCTTGGTCCAGCATTACTTGCGATAGCTGCGTCGATCTCCGATTTGAAAGTGGGGTGTATGCCTAGGCGCCTTCGCTCACTTAGTGTGGTTGAATGCGAACCACGAGCTTCGACTGCAAAACAGCGACTATCACGATCGTCTTCCCCGTTGATCTCCATTACGCGGAAGTAGCGATTGCAGCTGTGGTGATCAACACACCTATAGACCTTGGCATGAAACCGCTTCCCCGTGTTGAACATGAACACGTAGCTGAACGCGTCTTGGAGCTGAATCGCGACTTGCGCGCTTTGCATCGTTTCATGAACCGAGATTCGTTGGTACCGTCCTCTGGTCGATGGACGACTCGGGCTATGCTCTCCCGTGGAGCTCTCCACCATTGCCCTGAACACAATGTGAAATGCACACGGTAGGATAGATGAGTATGAAGTAGAAGCAACTTAGAGTATTACGGTGAACGTACGGCGAGCGTAGAATTTGCTCTTATCGTGTTGACGGAGAAGCGCTTGAACGAAAGGAGCTCTTACACTGTGGACTGGCGTAGCTGGCGAGCGAAGTTGGCGATGGAAGCACTCTAACCCTAGCTCGTGGATCGCTTTGTAGACGAACGCCTGCTTATCGTTGCTGCAACATGTAGCTTACATTAGCTACGTCTGAACTAATGAAGGCAGAGCCTTGACGCATCTTCTTCCGTGCTCAAGCCTTAACCTCAGCAGTGCACTCGGTCATTCCCTCAAGTTGAACAAGGGACACTCGGTTTCACACCTTTCGAACAAAAAACTAACGGTGCACTCGATTTCCTAAAAAAAGCACTCGAAAGTAATATCGCTCCAGGCAAGATCGAGTTTAAGAACGTCACGTTCCGATACCCGACGAGGCCTGAAATTACCGTGCTCAAGAACTACAACCTTACTGTTGAAGCTGGACAGACTGCGGCTTTCTGTGGACCCAGTGGAGGAGGTAAGAGCACTTGTGTATCGCTTATTGAGAGGTTCTACGATCCCGTTGAAGGTCAAGTATTGCTCGATGGGGTTGACACGAAGGAGCTCAACCTCAACTGGCTACGTAGTCAGATTGGACTCGTCGGACAGGAACCCACGCTCTTCATAGGCTCCATCGCGGGGAACATCGCGTACGGACTCACGGATACACCCACTCAGCTGGAGATCGAAGACGCGGCCAAGATGGCCAATGCGCATGGATTTATCACCAAATTCCCGGATGGCTACAGCACTCAAGTGGGCATGAAGGGAGAACAGCTCTCTGGGGGTCAGAAGCAACGTATCGCCATTGCACGAGCCATCTTGAAGAACCCCAACATCTTACTGCTGGACGAAGCCACGAGTGCGCTGGACTCGGAGAGTGAGAAGGTGGTGCAGGAGGCGCTGGACAAGGTGGTGGCACTGAAGCGACGTACGACGATCATCATCGCTCACCGGTTGTCGACGAACCGCAAGGCAGACAAGATCTGTGTGGTGAGCGGTGGGAAGATCGAGGAGCAGGGCACTCACCACGAGTTGGTCAAGTTGAAGGGCATTTACGCCAAACTGGTGCACCAGTCTACACATTAGATGGATACACAGACAGCACAATCTACTTAGAAATCAATACGTAAGTAATAATGAAAACATGAGCTCACCGTTTCAGCAGATTTGTATTATCGAGTAGGCAGCACTCAAGTGATATCCTTAGCTTGGGTTTGCTTTATTATTTCGTTCGGGCTATCATACCACAGTGTAAACCCATGACAAGCCTACAGAAACTTGGTACGACGCTTCTCCGTTCCATCGGGTTTCGCGACCTCCGGCACGAACGGCACAAGAGATTCAATCTTGGCCTTGACCTCCGGCGTGACCTTGTCCACAACCGACAGCGCCTTCAAGTTTTGCTTCAGTTGCTCCAAGTTCCTGGCTGCGATGAGGACCGACGAGACGTTTTCGTTGCTGACGCACCAAGTTCCGGCAGTGACACTCCTAGCTCCTCGGGTACAGATTTGGTAGAATTTTAACGAGGTCGTATACAGGTCAGGCCTGATTATTGGGTCAAGTTCCATTTCCAACAGGATCCTCCTACATAAGAAGAAGAATCGAGCAGTGAAGAAGATGACGAGGCTGTAGATGTGTAGTGGGTCGTGGTTTAAAAGCCCAGCCGAGCCCATGCAATGCAGTCGAGTTGCGGCAGCAAGGTTGACCATCATCATGCGGCGCTTTGGCGCGCTTGGAGATGGTGATGGCGCTGCTGTTTTGAAGTCTTCGTCCTTGAGCTGCGTGAGCTGCTTGTGCAACAACTTGTACCAGTCCACGCGCTTCATTGGGGCGACGCCGTCGAGGCGACAGGCCTCCTTGTGTGTGATGTACGCGTTTACAAGCGCTAAGTCAAACAGACCTAAGAATAGACCCTTATAGTACTTTCGGAACCTGAAAGAAGTCTGGACGGAGAACGTTTGAAGGCGGAGTTGATCATGCACATAAACTCCGCCCATCCAGCGCTGGTAATCGGTCACCAGTTTGGGACAGCTGAACGTCGACTGCCCCACCGTCTTCAGGTTTCTCTTGATGGTATCTTCGGCCATTGACACCCCAGTGGCCAGGTAGTGCACCGGCTTGCGGTCCCACCTGTGGCATGCAACCATGGTGGGCACCGCAACCGACCTTGAGTACGTGAATGACCCGCGCTCTACTGTGGTTGGTCGTGTTTTCCTTCTCTCAACGACGTGCTTGTCGAAACCCAGCCTTGACGTCATGATTGTTCCAATCATGAAGGCCGACATCGAAAGTAGTTGAATGGCGAGAGCAACGGAGGTGTAGAATCTGTCGACAACAATGACACGAAATCCGGGGTCGTTCTCATCCAACACAGCCTTCAAATTTCGAATTACAGCGGCTGCTCCTGTCTTGTGGTCAAACGCCTGACTTGCACTTTCATGGTTTTGACGCTTCCCTACATATATCTCGAATCTAAAGTCGTAAGTGACAACATAATGCAAATGTCAGACCATCAAGTCATAACTTACGACTTTGCAACACTTATAAAAAAATGCGCACCTGTGGCAGTAAGCAGACACTGCGTCGCACGTCATGAACATCTTGGTGCCATAACGGTGCGGCTTGTCCGGCATAAACATACGGGTACTGTTACGCTTGGACGTTTGAGGAAGTACACCTTCGTCAAAAGAGATGATTGCAGCCACTATCCACGCAGCTAGGAATGTCATTTGAAGTACGTCAACAACAGCTCGCAGTTTCCACAACTTGTCTCTCTTGTCAGCTGTGTCATTGTTGCAGAAATGTAGATCTCGTAGTATAGAAGTACAGCGATTTCGAGAAATGAAATTGCCAAACCGTCCCGCCGAAAGCGCGCCATCATCGGTCATAGCCCAGTGATCTGAAAACGGACGGGTAGGGCTGAGCATATGAGCTACAAGTAGACCCATGACACAAAGAATCTCGCGCGGTACGTAACCAGGTTCGACTCGTATGCGGCGGCGAACATCCCGTAGCGTTTGACCTGGTACGCTGCGTCCTTCACGAACGAGACGTGCACGCTCTTGGCGCGCCTTTTCCTCGAGGTGTGACCTTTTGTATCTGTTTGTCTCGCTCGTGATGAATGTCCACAGGTTCACCGGCATAAAATAGAATAGCAATTCCAATGGAGAATCCTTTTTAGCACGAAGTGCTTCCACAGGCCTAGCCGCTTGATCCTTCATACCTTTGAACGCGCTACTTTCGGTTTCATACTCGGAGGATGCAGGAGTCCACGCCATCGAACGTAGTGTAATCTGGTTTATGTCTTCGATATATAGAGAGCCCCCCAAGTAATCAATAAATGCTGCATACATAAGAGGCGCCTCTTCTTCGTCAGATGACACGTCGTCACCAATTTGCCTTTGAACAATATCACTATCATCATCTGATCCAAAGCCATCCGACTCCGAGTCCATGCTCTCATACTCGTCTGCATTGTCCTCGTCCTTCATGATGTTCACGTCCTCTTGTAGCAAGCCACGATCTTCTCTCGAGTTTGTTCGCTCATCGTTTCGTCTCGAGTTTGTTGGCGTCACAGGCTCGACAACAGCACCATTTTGACCGGCGCATAGTGACAGCGCTACATCCGGTTCATCACCGCTCATAACTCCACAAAATATCTCGTCTATGGTGTTTGCTGAAAGCGCAATACTTGTGTCTATCTGTGACGCCCTTGAGCTCTCATCCTCTATGTGCGGACTTGTGGCGCATAGCGGGAGTTCTGCAGGTGTCTCGCTGTCCTCGCTCTCGGATCCAAACAATGCTTCAACGGTGTTCGCTGAGAGAGCAACACTCGTGTCAATCTGAGACGGTGTTACCCTCTCACACTCTGCAGGAACTTCTGGTTCACCTTCTTCACTCTCGTCGTCTCTGTCGTCGCCTGCACCTCCCTCGTCAGCGCCAATGATGCCCTGTTCAAACGCATACTTTACTACCGCATGTTCTCCTTCGCATACACAGCACAGAATACGTATTAGACACACTCACAATAGACTAACCACATCAGACGTACCGACAAACATGTTCACGCCCTCGATGTGGAGCTCCTTTGCAGCGTTCGGTGGGTAGTACGAGTGCAAATTCGACAGCCGCGTTGGCCTCTTTGACGTCCATCCGACACGCACGAGCTGACGCCATAGATGACCAAAATCCACATCTCGCACGTCGATTGCTGAGAGCGCCTCTGCTTGAGCTTTTGTCCGCTTGCTTGTTCTGACCGGCATCTTTGCTTGAGTCCGCAAATTCTGTACTGGTGGAGGACATCCACCGTCCACCAAACGTACGGTCCCGAGATAGTGGGACAGTGAATCCACCTACAGCCTTTTTCTCCCCTGTCGCCACTACCTTTCCAAGCTTATATTTTTTTGCAGAGAAACAGACTTGATTAAAGTATGTGATCGTCGCATCTGAGCCATTTCCTGTTTATCTTGACAGTTAAGTCGTAACTTACGACTTAAGGTTTTCACTACGTCGTAAGTTACGACGTTGGTAACCAAGGGGTTAACTTTTTAGACCGCGCAGAGTACAGAAGCGCGTATAGTGCATTTGGTCAGCGATACTATTGCCATGGAAAATAACTTGAATGCGTGAAGTGTGAGAGATCGATATCTCGCACGAACTTCTCAAAGCACGCGAAGAAGTGCAAGGGGATAAAAGCGCGTAAATCCAGGGTTGATATTCGCAAGAGGTCGTGGGTTACATTTCGTCAATGGAAGCGCTACTTCATGTAAGTAACTTCCAATTTAGCGCGCGACTGCTCAAGACTCCGGCCTTGGGACTAGGAATAGCAGCAACCAGGCTTTGGGGGGCGCGTGGAAGGGCGCCGTAACCCCCAGGGCATACACAGACAAGAGCACAGCAAAGGCTCGAAGGCAGGCAGAGACAGCTCGATTTCAATCATGGCAACGAAGAGAGGGAAACCCACTGGAAAAGAGGGGATCCAGAGTTTGGGAGGCATGGGACGTGATTCAACAGCAGAGGGAAAGAGAGGTCCGGATTGGCAGGTGGTAGACCACACAAGGGGTCGGAGTAAGACAGAAAGGAAATTAAAAGGAAATCCCTCGATGACTCCAGCGAACGCACCCAAAGGTTCACGGGAGGACAGGCAGCCATCCAAAGCGACAAACAAGGAGCCACGAGGACAACGGAAGGAAAAAAAAATTAGCGACCCAAGATCAGTGGAACCGGATCAAGGTGATGGAACGGTGGTGTACGCACAACTACTGACTTAACTAGTTAACGAAGCAGCGCCGGAGTATATCCTGTACACGGTATTGCGCTTAGCGGAGCTAGCCAAGGATCGTCGATGCCAACGGTGCTGGGATGAGCACGCACATGATGACGATGAGACGGATCGGATCTCCTGGAGAGCAGGATGGAAGAACGAAGTGCCACCCGAGATGCTCGAGAAATATCAGGGTATCGTTAGCCATTAAGATTGCGCTCAAGAAGAACATGTAGAGAGATTCGCCACACTCATGAGAGAATGGGTGCTGCAAGGAAATATGGCACAAGACGAGCTGGAAACGCGCTTACGACTTTTCCATTTCCAACATGATCCAACAGATAACAAGACGATTGAGGGGACTCCGACTTCTGGTAAGTCTTACAGGGATGCAGTGGGGGGCACCGAGAAGGACGCATCAACCAAGGAGGGCATGGCTCCCACAGATCAAAAGAAATGGTATGACATGTGTATGAAACCAGCTGAGCCTGTCAGAGAGCTGAGGGAGCGGACAGAAGAGGAGAACCAGGCTCTAGTGATGATACTCGATCATCAACTGGAAGTGCCTGTACCCCCGAGATTCCTGGTTCAATCGATGACAGTAGGAGAGCTGGCAGCATTCACCGACATATTCATGGCGCTTGAATACCCACTTTATGCTCATCTGGCACCGGGCCAGAGATATGGTACTGGGTTGGGCAAACAGAGCATCATGCAAATGATTCAAGTGGGGGCCGAGGCAGCTCTACCCCAAAAGCAGGAGATAGCGGAATTCAAAGCTGCCATTGCTAGAATAGAAATAGACCCGGAAAGACGTCTGGTCATTGTCACATTCAAAGGCAAAAGATCGGCGCAGAAATGGGTAGGGTGGAAGATGCCGATGGGAAT